GACAACTTTATAACTTAATTTTTACAAGTACTTGAAGTAACTGAACAGATTTACAGCATTGAATTTTGAACACTGAAAAGTAACTGCACATTTTTCACCACTTAATTTTAATTTGATTCTAATTTAATCTCAAATTAATTAAATTAATTCAGTATTCATTTTTGCACAGAACTATTATCTAAAAAAGAAACTTTATCACATCGTCGCTATTAGGTCAGTCAAAATTGCAAGAAGTCAAATGCGCCAGAATTTTTTTCGCGCTATCTAATAGCAATATTTATTTTATTAGATAATTTGTTTAATACCGTTATTTTATGAACAATTCAAAACTTGCTAAAGCTTTTAATTACTCTTATAAATTTAATAGCATACCTAATATTGATTAAATTTTTACCTAAGAATTTACTCCAGTCACGATTTCACATAAATTAACCAGAATTTTTAATATTTAAGTTTAAAAATTTATTTCTGTCACGATTTACTTCGAATTATGCAAATTTTTATTTGTTAAAAAAGTAAAACGCTCGTAAATATGTAAAATAAAAGGGGATAATTTTCGAGAAGTGAAATTTTTAGCTAATATTTTTAATATGTCAAATTTAACAAATTTTATATGAAGCAGATGTTATACAAATATTCAGGGTTCTGGAACATTTTTTCAATTATTTTTACAATTAAACATTAAAATGTCCATTAAAAGAATTAATGTGTGGCTTTGGCTTACTATGGCACTTTAATTAAATGATTCAAATAATTTTTTGCATTATTAATTCTAAAAATATTAGAAATTTAAACTGATCGTTAAAATTAATGAATATTGTAGAAATAAAAAATAGTATTTAGAAAGATTACGTCAAGTGCTCAATTCTATGAGGTAAAAAGATTTTTTCCGTCAAATCAAATTTAATTTACGCTTGAATTTATTTTCAAATTGTCAATTGATCACATTTAATATCCACAATGTCTTAATATTCAATATTTTGCAAGTTAAAAACTCTTAGGCATTTATATTAATTATTTAATGGATAAATATCAATCTACTTCTATTAAATATTAATTATTAAAGTAGCATGATCAAACTCGTAAAACTTATTAAAAACTCTACAAGAAATTTTAAAAAATTAATTTTGCTGGAATTATCGAAATAATCATTTTATTTTCATAAAATTTTTCACTATCAAAATTCACGGCAATAAGTATCATTTTTGAAACTCTATCTGACTTATCTTGCGCAACGCACAAACGTGTTATTACTTGATTATTTTTTCCAATATTTTGTAGCCAAAAGAAAACTTAATTTGACAAAAAAATTAATCTCATTAATTCACAAAGTTAATTCCATGACTAAATTTGAACTTTATTATTTAAAGTAAAAAATAGAAATACCAAACTGCACTGAAGTTCAAAGTTCAAAGTCCTACTATATCACTACTAACCATTTTTTATTTGTTAATAGCATACTTGATATTAATTAAATTTTCATGTCAAATTTAGAGTGATAATTAGATAAAATAAAAAGTCAAGTCATAAAAAAAATTAATCCACTTATCTCTACTGTACTCAACTTATTTGTTGCCAAAGACAAAAGAACAAACATTGAAAAATATAAGTAGATTTTCCTTGCATTCCTTTAACATTATTATCCTTTTAAAAAACCTTTTGCTTGCTTTTTTCAAAGGTCAAAGGTAAGAATTATGGAAGACAAATACCGAAAGATTTGTTATACTTTGTAATTATGAGTTGTTCGGCTGTATACATTGTAATTACCAGACATTTCACACATTATTAAAGAATCTTTGTGAACTATTCACTTTATCTGCTTTACAGTTTTCTGAATTCTCTGCTATAAGAAGCAAAAAAGGGATAAAATAAAAATTCTTTCTGATTTCAAATTCAATTTGTATTTAATTAATTGAAAATTAGTATTCAATTAAAATTAATGTCTTTTACAAATATGCAATTTTAGTTTTTTGTAAAATAAAATATTTTATTTCAAAAAATTGTTTAACATACAAAAAATACTCACTAATCCATACATCTGTTTGAACCAAATGCAAATCAAACAAATCATTTATGCTAATTTTTTCAAAGCAGTTGTGATTTAAATATTTGTGAATCAATCAATAATTTAAACTTTTCTCATCGGATCAGTAATAAATCAAGTTTTGTATAGTAAAAGCTACTTCTAAGCCACTGAATCACAAATCGGACTTATTTCTCAAAAGAATATGCAAAAACTACAAGAAAAAAACTTCTAAGAAATCTGGAAATTTTTTTACCATTGTTATATATATGTATACAAATAACAATGGAATTCTACAAATAATGTATATATACCATTGTTACATATATATATAAATCACAATTAGCATAAATGAACTTTATATATATTTATATAAATAAAGTTGTAATATTAACAAAGTATTGCTATTTTTTAATAATGAAAAATGTCAACAAAAATAAAAGATTGCGAGTTAAGTTTGGGAATTGCTTTGACAGTTTTGATTGGGGGATTTAAGTATTTAAGTATAATATAAACAATAAAGAATCGAAAAGCATTGCGCTGTAGCATAAGAAAAGCACATTTCGTGCGTTTGTTTGCACAGTTTATGAGATATTCTCGAAATTCAAGCAGAATTATCCGATTATTCAATCTGACCACATGTCCAAACAAATCACTTATTTTATTCTTATACTTGAAAATGTCAGTTTCATTTACTCAAACAGTTAAAGTAAATGAAAAATTATGAATTTAAAAAATTTGTTACCAAATCAAAAATCTGAATATAAATACTGAAAAAATTAAAATACAAAACAAGTATGAAGGATGAATTTTTTGATATTAGGCTGTCAATTTTTGTTCTGGACTTTTCAATCAATTAAAACGTGCCGAACTGTTGATGAACATAATGGCTAATTGGATTAGGAATTTGAATATTGAATTTAAACAGATTAAAAATTAGAAAAATTCTGAAATATAAATGTTGCAAAAAAATTTAACTTAAAGTAAACTTGAAATGTAAATTTTTGATTCAAATACGATTTTTTTGCTTTTAAAGATATTAATCTTGAAGAAGCTTCAAGCACGTAACAATGTTTGTTTAACAAAAATATTTTAATTTTATCACCAAAAAAAATTTATTAGTATGATTATTGAATTTAAGTTGAAATAAAAACCAAGTATTATGTAATTCGCATTCAAATATTTGTAAATTACTTTACAAAAACCACAAAATTTTCAAAGAAAACTGGAATAGGTAAAATCAGTCACAATAATTTAATTAAATTAACTTAAAGTAATTTGACTGTAACAAACATAACAATTCATAAATTTTTTGATCACCTTTTGTGAAAAAAAATAAATATGTTCCTGAAAAACCTGGACATTATGCTAAAGTTTAGCTGTTCATAATGTAAAAATTCCTCGGAACTTTTTTATTGTCAAAAGTTATCAGAAATTATTTATTGGAACTTATAAACTTAATAAATTATTCATAAAAAATTTTGTACTGTAAACTTTTTTGATTTCATAAAATTATTAAAAAAGCATAAAATTATCAAGTGAGTTATTTCTTTTACTTTTTTACAATACTTTTGTAACAAAAACTTGAAATAAATTTATTGAGTAATTTTTGCAAGAAGTAATAAATTTTAAATGTTAATAGCTAGTACTTAATTACTAGCCACATGGTTTTCATCAATATGAAAAAGCTGTTGTTTTTTTTTCACTTTCAAAAACTAATAATATTGCATTACAAATATAGTTAGCAAGATTTGTACATGATCCCGAAAAAGATTTATCATTTAGTTTTTATTTTGAATTCAAACATTTATTACAAGTTATTAAATCTGAGTGAACTTTGGCCCATTATCAGCATGACTTAATTGTCTTAAAGAAATTCCACGTGTGCAAAATGCTTCAAACCACATTACTATTTGCGGCTTTTACGATATTGTTGTCGAACAAATCAGAACTGTTATTGAAAAACGTGGAATTTTCACTTACTTTATGTGACGTTTATATTTGTTATTGATTATATTTTGCAATAAATCCTTCTGAATTACCAAAAACACTTTTTACTCTTTTGAAAACTCTGTGAGATATTTTTCCTAACACAGGCATATTTCAGTCGTCTGTAATAATTAAAATGATCAGTTCTGTCAATTTCTAGCGAAAATCGCGCTGATGAGTAATAATCTGAAGAGCAAAGAGTAATTTGCGCGGAATTCAATAAATTTCTCGCAAATTTGTAATCAAATTTTAAATTAAGTACTGTTTTAGAATGTAATTAAATGCCATAAATCCAAAAGTATTCAAAATATTTTATAAAGCTTATCATTGAAGTCATTTTTAGGCATTTTTTACGTAATAACAATTATTACTTTGAAAATACTTGAAAAATTTTCAGCATTTATAATTTTTAGTAAAGAAATATTATTTTATTTTTGTACAAACATATTTATTTATTTATTTATTTAAAAGTAACTGAATAATTACTGTGGTGATAATACGGTATATTAAATTCATTTACTTGGTATGTTTTCGTTGTGCGTGCTGACTTTATTTCCCAGCCGTAAATTTATTTAAAATACCAAGTGCCAGTAGCGCTTTACACGCTTAACATAGACTGGGAAATAAGTAAAATTTTGAATTTGGTAAGTAAAACTTTAATTTCAATTTCAGAGTGAACAAGATTTTAAGCTGAAATGCATTATTATGTTATTAAAAGTGTACTGAGTTAACCTACAGTAAGATTGAGACTTTTTTACAGTATTTTACTTATCAGTCTAAATATGTGGGAAATGTGTGCAATAATATGTACAGCAGTTATGAAAACTCTTGTTTATTATTTTCTAAAGTAAATTCAATACACTTAAATATAGAAAATAGACGTATTTAACGTTTGCATTAATGTTGCTAAATAATTACAATTAAGTTTTGTACTAAAATGTTTTTGCAAAAATGCAATGAACAACTATTTATTTTATCGCAATAATATTTAAAAAGGCCTGAAAACATAACACGACACGTTGTTATGCTGAACTAAGCAAAAATCATGCGTGTGAGCCGTGTAAGCTAAGTCACCCGTAGCACAAACAATATTATATGATATTGTGGATGGGAATTTCGCTCTTATAGCTTTTTGTAACATTTCTTTCGCTGACCATACGTCATCCACGAGATTCTAAAATTATTCAAATAGCCTTTAAAAATCTTTACTACAGTACTAAATACTATATTTGTAATAAGTTTAGTATTCAAAAAATGCGCTGTGTCTTACTTAAGTAATAAAGTTATATAAGTATTAGTTATAAAGAAATAACTGGTCTGATTTAATCTGAACTATACTGGGTACAAAAAAGTTCGTATTAATAGTGTTATAATTTAAGTTACGTGTAGATTTTAAATTATACATGAATAGAAATTTTAGAAACGTTATTTTATATCGTTTAAAAATAATTCTTAATATGTTTCACGAAAAATAAAAATACCTCTTTGATGATGTTCCTCAAAACTGCATTATTACAAACTGGATCATCTTTTAAATTTTCTGCAGCTCTTTCAAATGCACGTGTACCGACTTCACGTCGTTTTCTTGAACGGAAGCTGCATGGATTGCGACAAGCTGTACAGCAAGAATTTTCAGCAAATAATGCAGGTTGAGTCTGTAAACTAATCAGATTACCTTCACTTTGAATCTGATTGATCCGTTGACTGTTTATAATAGTCAAGAAAATTTATCTAATGAGCAAATAAATGTTTTAATATGATAAATGATTGAAAGTAAAAGTAAATTATACCGGAGGACATAGATTAGGGCATGGAAGTTGTGGAAGTGGTAATAGAGGAGGTAGCACAGGACATGGTAAAGGAAGTGGACATATGGGTGGTGGTGGTGGTGGTAACGGTAATGGTGGTAGACAGGGTAATTGTGGTGGACAGACTATTGGTACAGGATTACACTGCTGTGGAATAGCTGGTGGGCATTCGTGAACGCAAGGATTTGGTACAGCAAATGTAACCATAAGCATGGCACCCGCTACAGTAGCAAATAATAAAGCCATATTGCGCAATCTGTAAAAAATATTCCACAAATACTGTATTTGCTAATATTAATTTAATGTGCTATAAAAAGTTGTTGTATTAAACGTAATAACTTACATCGCTTCTAAATTAAAAACTACTTATAACTGCATAGATTAACAATTACTTGTAAATGTTGTTAATAATGTGAATACTTGAGCTTATTCTCACGTAAAAATTAAAATTTGCCATTTTAGCATTACATTTTCACTTTCTATTGGAACAAAATTATATTTATTTTGAACAAATATCTGGTAATACTGTATATTTACAAAATAAAAAATTATAGACCAAACATCATTCAATAAAATAACCGTTTATAAACTCTGATTCAGAATAAAAATTTTAATTTTAATATCCTGAACATTTCACAAAGTATAAAACAAATAATAAAAATGCTAAAAGTATTATTTTCAAAGCATGAATTAAGTAATAAGAAATTAATTTTTATATTTTATTGCTAAAAATTAGATCAAAAATCAAAGTTACAAACTTATAATATATTAATTTAAAGACCTATGTTTAGTTTGCTGAATTACTTTTATATAAAATATTTATACGTATTTATATCATTTTTGAATGATTCTAAAACTAATACATACCCAAATCAGGTAGTCTTGCATATGAAATCACGTTTTTTTCCCTCTTCAAGGTTGAATCGGTTTCGATCAAGGCGAAAAATTCACTGAAATTTTCATTTTTTTAATGTCTTCTTCAACAAAAATGAAAAATTGACATTATTGCTTCCGTCGTGAAAACTCGTTAAACTTCTTCAAAAAATTTTTGAACTCTTTCAAATGTTTCAATGTAATTTTGCATGAATTATTTTTGTAAGTGCTTTAAATAATTATTAATAAGTTCAAACTTTTGCAGTATTCAGCAGTTCAAATGTAAACTTTCAGTTGATAAATATGATAAGACAAATTAAAATTAGTTTAATCAGCTTACTCTGACCTTGTATAAGACGAATGCATCAGAAACAAGTTTTTGACTTCAAAAAATTCATGCTAACAGAAACTTGATTTTAAATTATTTTAACTTTAATATATTGCTTTTGGAATTAATATTGCTTGAAAATGAGAAAAAAGAAAGCAAAAGAGATTTCAGATTTAAGTATTTCTTGATTAGGTCAAGTCAAAAAGTAATAGTAAATCTAACTGAATCTAACGTTTTAAATTTTTGTATAATATTGATACATGCTTCAGATATCTATAAAATTATACTATGAAATTTTGGTTTTGAATTTGATAAAATACTTTGCTAAGTAAGTTTAGGCAAAACACAACATTATACCTGAACCAAATTTGAATCTTATTTTTAAGTGTCAAAATTGTAAACTTTCAAATTCAAATAGTTTTGGAGCTTGTAGATTACAATAAAACTCAATAAAAATGTTAGAAAATTATGCAGTACATAAATTTTTGATATTAAACATGTTTTTCAAAATTTTATGAATTGTGAATTAATTTCTTTTTAGAAAAGTTCTAAATTTTAAATAATCAAAAATAATAGCATTAATAAAAGCACGAATGATTTTCAAATAGCATTTATATTTATAAAAATTCAAACTTTGAAAACTAAAGTAAAATTACAACTTAGTCAAATTTATTTTTTAGGTTTGACTGAAAAAAATTTGAATATTTAAAATTAAAATTTTACGTGACCAAAACTATTTATGAAATAAAATTTTTCATAAATAATCTTCGAAAACAAATTATGATAAGGCTGCTGTGTGCAGTTAAATCTGTTTTTAATCCTTTTTTATAGGTAATCCTACTTTGTGCTTAATATGATCTCAAAATAAAATTAATTCCTTGTCTAACAAGGTTTTAGTGTCAAATTTGATTGAACTAAAAAGTTGAATTTAAGAGATTTTGAGTTCACTAATGTTTTTTTTTCGCGCGAATACTTTACAAAAGAAAGCAGATTTTTAAATTAGGCTATCATACATATATATATTTAGATATTTCACGCTAAACTTATATTTGATTAAGGGAAATCTTTTATGAACAAAATTATTCAAGCAAATTTTTGTTGACGTGGATGTCAACGTGAATTTTTTTGATCATAATTTATGAATAACCTTTGTGGTGCTTTTCAAAATCAATCAGTAGCGTGGTTTATTTTGCAACAGTACTTGATAATGTTGATGTGGTAGTAGGGTTTTTTTTCTCAAACCACTTTTGCAACAAAGTAGCCTTTTACGTGAAAGGATGTTAAAATCGAAGCGAAGCAATTAATGACCTTCACAAATTGAACCTCAAAAGAAAATTGCAATTTCGGAAAATGCAATAGATTTTTGCAAATTCATTTTAGTAAATAATGCAAAGTTTTCGCAGTGACAAATACGTAAAGAATATTCGTAAAAATTTATATATATAAAACGGCAAATAAATAAATTCAAATTTATTCACGCAGAAATTGGTTTTCACATTGTCATTATAAAGTGTATTGAAAAAATTGAAGCAAAGTGTGAAACATAAAAAATGGATATATTAACAAAAAAAGATCTGACGTAAGTGAGTTTCAAGAATACAAAATTAAACGTTTAATTATTGTATTTATTTGCTCTTTGAACATTGTTATGATAGCAATACTTCATATTCAATTATTTTTTTGTAAAACTTTTTCAATATTACTGAATATCTTATAATCTTATGATTTTCAACGTGATTTGAAAGCATAGCACGCGTTTCCACGTCTAGAAACTTCACAGAAATCGAGTGCATGTGTAATATAAGTAAAATCATTCCTAGAACAAATCACATGAAAAAGAGCCGAGAATTTTTTTTCAGCAGCACGTTGAATAGCACGTTTTGAACTCGATGGATCTCTTTTCATATTCTAAAAGTGATCAATGATTGAATATTGTAATTAATCCAAAATATAAATTCGACAATTCAATTTAATAATTAGTTTTTAGTTTAATTAATGAAGAAATTAAACAAACCAAATAAGTAATTAACTTTTGTTTATTAAAGTGTTTTAAAAACTAAAAACTTACTGCTATCATTATTTTTTTCAACTCTTTGTTTTGACATTTACTATCTTCAACTTTTTGATCACTAAACGTGCCGGAAGCTAAAATTGTATTTTGATTCATGCTTGAGCAACTTACGTCGCTACAGCGTGTGCAGCAATCGTGTGGTGGAAAGTTATCCACTGGTGGATTCTAGACAAAATGATATTAGTAAATAATCTTTCCTTTAAATATACAAAAACTTTCAAAATATTTAAAGTACATATTTGTTTGAATTTATTTTTAGATATATTTACAGCTTTCAAAATAGCTCAAGTGATAATCTGTACATTATATATGATTCAATTTTTGGTATTCATAAATAGTTTCAAGCACACTTATAATTGCAATACTTTTTTACTGAACAGATCAATTTTAAATATTTCACTTTTGTATGCTTAAAGTTAGATTATGTGAATTTACTTTACTTTTCAATAGAATATAAAAATACTGGTAATAAATGAGTAAAAAATGTTTGCCAATATAATAATAATGACTTATTTTTAAATGGCAAAGCAAAGAAACATAGATATTACTTATGAATTTAAATCCTTGCTTAGTTTTTATTGCATAGACAAAATTAAGTAAAAAATTTTAAACAAAGATTAACAGTATTTCAGTATACTTATCTATTTTGCCATCTGAATCAATTATTATTAGATATTTTGAGGTGCTTCAAACGAAAAATGAAAATATATCAGTACTATCATTTACCTGAACTAATGTTTTTAAAGGGGGTTTAATCGTTGATAAATGAAGATTCTGAATATTATGCGGTTCAAAATTGAGTCCTTTTGTTAGCATATCTAATTGAGGTGAAGGAATAATTGGCACATCTTCTGGAATCATTAAAATTGCTGGATTTTTTTTGGATGCCTCCGTGTCAGTTTGGTTTGCAAGGTCAAGTAGTTTATGTTCGACTGAAGGTGGTGGTAATGTAGGACAAGGAGGAGGTGAAGGACATGGCTCAGGAGTAGGACACGTAGGTGGAGGTGGACAAGTGAGGTCACTTTCAGATGATGATGCTAGATCATGCTTTAAAAAAGATGGATTATTATTTGTGATCTCTTCTGACGTGTCTGCATTGGTGTTACAATCGTTTGCTGGTGAATCGCATTCTTCTAATGATTCATTCGTGATGTTCATTTTTTGATCTTGAACAGATTGAGAATTTGCTGATCGTTGTTGAGGACAACAACAGTAATCACCAATCACATTTTTACCATAATCAGCAACACAATTATTGCAACATATAATTGTATGATGATAATAATGGCGAGGTCGATTCCGTCTGAATCCTTCAATATTTTCCGATTGTTCGGATTTATGCTGTTCATATACAGAATCCTTTTCACACTTTATATTTACACATTTTCCTCTTGTTGTATTTCGAAGTAAGCCAAAGCTTACAATTAGTATTGTAATTAAGTGATGCATCTGAAAAGTTGCGCGCAAAAAAAATGTTTTTTAAATGTTAGAAAAGATCATAAATAATAAAAAAAATAAAAATGAAACTTGAAAAATATTATTTCTAAACTTTAATTGTTGAAACTAAAATTTTCGAAAATTGTCAAAAAAAATTATTTGCAAAATTTGCTAAAAATTAATTAAAAAATAGTTTTAATTTACAATTTCTAAAACTTGATTAGTTATCAGTTAGAGTGAGACTTTTTTAATTTGAAAAAATATTTTACATAAATAATAATAATTGCATTTTTTATCAAATTTTTATGAAAAATTAAAGAGATATATGAATGACTTGAAATAAAACATTGCACATATGACTGAGATTTGAGTAAAATATCAACAAACCAGTTGCTGGTACTGCAGCAAATACTTTTGATTTAGCTGAGATTATCATTAAAATTATTCATAATCGTATAATTGAGGGCTGTCTTGACAAGTTTTATACTCAAAATTAGCTCAATTTTATAATTTCAAAACGGAACACAACACTTGCGACTACAATTTCTTTAAATGCCAAAAAGATTCTCCTAAAAATATATATGAAATTTTATTATAATTACATTAAATTTGACTAAAATTGAACTAATACTTCCTTACAAAAATTTGTTGAAAGAAACATACAGAAGTTTCAATTTTTTAAATAATAATTCAAATATACAGTTTATTGATAACAAGTGATATATTGAAAAGTAAAAAAAATTTTCATAGATATTTTTAAGAGAATTTTTTTTTAATTAAAATTAAAAAAAATAGTTTGTTAAGATTTTTTCTGATAAACTACATCGCGTAATAACTTTTATATTAACAGAATTTAAATATAAATCACAAAAAAATAAGTATTTTCATTTCAAATAAATTTGAATCTTCAAACGAACGTAATCGAACATTATAAAAACGGCCTGCAAAAGTTATAGTAAAAAATTACAATTACTTAAGTGCTAAAATTTAATAAGTGTAATCTTGTTAATGATCAATATTGCAAATTATTTATATTCAAAAATAATCATAATTTTTGTATAATAATAAAATCATTTATAAAACTAACTAAATATCACTGAAACTAAAATGAAAACACTATCATACATAAATTGTTTTTGTTCAATTTTATTTTTGCATTTTTATAGAATACTTAATAAAACTTATAAGATCAGTTAATTTTTAGCTCTATCAAATGCACTATACAGTAATATTTATTAATTTTTTTAATATTAATTACTAATTATGATTATTTTTTTGTTAATAAATGATGAGTTTTAATGCTTAATTATGACAAAATATGATTTTTTTCTAAACTTTGCGTCAAATTATTAATAATTAATTCTAAATGAGTACTAACCTAGCATCTGGCAAGAACGGTGTCCAAGTAGCATTATTTACTACTTGCAAACAAGCTGGTGTTCCCCCGAGAGTCTTGATTCGCTTTATTAATTTTCCGTCTACTTCAACTTTACCAATTTGATCATCATCTGTTTCCAAATCGATCTGTTATTTTAAAAAACACTGCTATTTTCTAGTAGAATATAAATTTTAAAATACTATTAGAGTAAAGTGAAAAATTACTAATAAGCATCAATCTAAGCATATAAATTTGCATATTGTTGTCTGTGATAAGTTTTTGCACATTTACCATTACTTATTAATTATTGACTGTTTGATTACTTTACTGTGGAACTGTATTACATGACATTTTGTTAAAATGTAAACTGATCGAAATCAATAATATAAATAAATATTTGTATATGCATTTTATATATTTGATTTTGTGAATGAGAAATTATATAAAATACAAACATTAATATCAATAAATAATTAAATTTTTCGCCACAGTTTTGAATTTGCTAACACAAATACTCAAAAAGTAGTACGGAAATAGTTTGTACATAAAGCTTAAATCAAAAATTATAAATAATTGTTAAAAATCAATTACACTTATTAATTATCAAAAAATCAGTTGAATGAAGTTAAGAGCAAACTTCATCAGGCATAATCATCTGAGAAACATGTAACATGGGTAAATCACAATCATAATCACTTTGATCAATTACTAGAAATGGAAATAGTTCGTATAATTTAACCTCTTTGAACGATTTGAACTGAAAAGATTAACTGAATATTTAATAGTTTATTTTACTTAACATTACTTTACTTTTCTTCTTCTCTAATAATGATTTATGTCAGATAAAACTGTAGCCCAAAACAGTGCAATCAATCAAAGTCTTACTTTTACTATTAGCGTATATAAAAAGTTGCAAAACAACTTTTTTAGATCAGTAAGATTTTTAAATTTGGAAAATAGCTTGTTCTTCAATTTTTCAGCAGGCTCCGGAACATTTTTTATATTTGTTCCACTGGTCACTTGTTGAGATCCAACTTCTTGTCCCTTATATTTTTCGTATTCTACTGGGGATAACTGTGATGTATATGGTATTGATGGTATTTGTGGGGTTTCCTCAACACTCGAACATCCAGCCGTGATAGACTGAAGTGTTTTTGCTGATTTTGAAGACGCACTTGTATTCTGAGTTACATCCACTAGGCTAAGCTTATTAGTTTTTGTTTTCTGATATAATGAAGATTGTTTCTGATTCCCTTTTTCAGCCAACGCATCGAAGCAAACTGGTCTTTGCTTTTCAGTATTTTTTAATTTAGCTAACAATTTTATAAGGTGACTTTTACTTTGGTCATTTTTTTTGACCATAATCTGTTGAAGACTCCGTCTAATTTTATCTAATTCAGTTTCTTCAGCTTCTTTCTTTTTTCTTTCTTCACTTATTACTTTTTCTTTTTCAGATAAAGTTTGAGTCTTTTCTTCACTTTTCCCTTCTTCTGATTTCATTTTTTTCTTGCCAAACATCTATGCAAATTATTATTATTTCTTCTGATCCGACCAGTTAAAAAGAGCTATTGAAAGTGTTTTCTAAATTTACAGTAAAATGTTCTTTATATAACAGTAAGTTTGAGCAAAGATATTTGAATAATTTTTTGACAATTTTGTAATTTGCATAATTGTTGTAATTTGCATAAATTTTATATCTTATCTTTGCAATGAACTAATTGAAAAGTACTAACAACATAATTAAGTAAAAGTAAAAGTGATGAAGTCTTAAAAGTGATAAGAGTATCAGTCTTCAACAGATTGTGGTCAAAAAAATGACCAAAGTAAAAAATTGACGTAAAAAACAACGATTGAAGTTTACTTTTGACTCTACTAAGACATGTTTAAATTTGCGTTCATTATATCAGTGAGTATTTTATTTTTGCTAAAATTTTTCTTGCATCTTAAAAAGTTATCAATTATGGCTATGACAGTATTTAGAAACTTAGAAACAAGTAAATTGATTCTTACAAAGATAACTTCACAATTAATCACAATTTCAGCTTTATTTTTGATAATTTTATATGCCAAATTTACATTTTCTGAATGTAAATAATTATTAAATTTTATTTTATTTCTTATTAAAGTTAATACATTTCATAGCATTCATAAATTAGATTGTCTCATTTAATCAGTCTGATAAATTCAGATTTTTGACTTCTAATTCGATGTATTTCTTTTCAGTTTTTATAATAATCAAATTTTACGTTTGAAAAAATATCGGTCACAATTTGTATTAACTCTTCACACCTTGAAATAAATCTCTTACTGTATTATAGAAGGATATTGATTCATTTCTGGTAAAAATTATAAAATTTATTTATCCTATCAATGATTTTCAATTTTATCAGATCCGAAGATTCAGCTAGTAATTTTCATCGATTCATCCAAGTTTTAAACTTTTCCGAAATTCAAATTTTGTGAAGTTCATATTCTGTAATCAGATTCAAAAGTGTTTACTTTTCTGAATTGCTAGCAAGCAATGAACATTTTAAGTGTAAAAATATATCAGAAAATGAACAATAAAATTATTAAAAAATTTTTCATTTCGCATAGTAATAAAGAATTATGAATATTCTTAAATGTTAATTAAATGTTATATAATAAAGCAAGTTATTAAGTGATAGCATTGCAAATATTGCAAAAAAGGAATAAAATTAAACTTGCAGCATGCATTCATTTTTATTATTATCTGATGAATTTCCATACTTTCAATTTTTAATTTTTTCTTTTTGCAATTGTTTATTTTGTTTAATTTTCCAACTTGCAAGCTTAAATTTCAAACGTTTAGAACTCGTTTTCCGTCCTTATTTTCTTGATTTAATTTAATCAAATTTACTACGCGTGTCATTCATTTTCAGAAATATTGTCGCACATTATTATTCTTAAAGCTATTCGATTTTATAATAAAAGTTGTTGCATTTGCTTGCAAATTACAATTTTTATATTTACTTTTTTGAATTTTTCAAAGTTTAAAGTTGTCAATGCTATCGTTTGATAAATCTGCTTTATCTTGTAATGAAATATTGCCTTAAATTTCTAATTACCTGACTGAATACTTTTGCTATTTGAATTTAAATTTATAATTAATTAACTGACATACTTTTGCTATTTCAATTTACTGCATTCCAAAACTAACAATTTTTTCTTCGAATTAATATTTAATTTTGTGTTTACAAATCTATTATTTTCTATCTACTGAATTATAAATAAATGCGTAAAAATATTTACTTATTTATCTATTCAAAACTATCAAAATTTGGAGTTTGTATTTTTGCATATATCCAAATTATACTTTTATATTTGTTGGCATTACATTTCAGGCGAAATTCGAATAATTTAATTTTACTTTTGATTTCTGCAAGAAAAAAATTTGAATAGCATAATGATGTAAGAGCCATAAATTAGTCGAATTAAATATGCCATAAATTGCGGACAATAATGGTTTTAATTTTAAAGAGAGATAAATTATGCAAAATAATAATTTCCCTTTTTAATTAAAAAAACAGGAAATTAAAAATAAATGGAAGAATAACGTCAAATTTCCGAGAAATAGCTTTCTCTTCATCAGAAGCCATTTTCAGTACTTTCATTCTTTTTATCCCTCAAATGAATGAACAGAACTGAATCTTTTGTAGATAAATCCTTCTGAATCATTTACTATGTACTAATAACTTTGTAAATAGATTCTACGGAATTATTTACTACTAATAATTTCATCAATGAATATACTGGGTTACAGATTAATACCAGAATGACTCATTTTTTGAATCAGTATTCAGCATCAGTAACAAGAATTAGTTTGGAAAGCATCTAACTGATCAGGAACGAATATTAAAGAAAAATCGGATCAGGACATAGTATTGACTAGATTACTGGAACCCACTAAATCAAATGTTTTGATATTTTTTCATCGTTGGATTCCCCGACGGATTTATTTAAAACCAAATATTTTGTGCATGAATATTACTGAAGTAAAACACTGTTTACGTTACTGTTTACGTAATTCAACACTGTCACTTTTCCACAAATATATTCCATTTTATTTTGTATAAAAGTTGCAAAAAACCTTTCGTTAATTGCTAGTAACCATTCGAACAAAGCGTTTAAACTTACTTTTATTAAAAAATTAATTCAAACAACAAAATTACTTTTGGTAACACTGTAATGCCATGCTTTAGTAATTAATTCTGAAAGTTTACTGTCCATCATAAATCTGTCTGTTTATCAGTTCTGAATGCCCAGGAAATGATTCTGAATCTGTCAAAGTCTTAAAATGACGTGCTTACAACGTCTCTAATGAATTTTTAAGTTATTAAAAACGCTGTAAATAAATAATTATAATACTATTACTGTTATATTCTTTAAACTTTTTTCCCAAATATTAAAAACAACAAGAAAAAATTAAATTATAGTTGCCAAATGAGTTGAGTTTGCTAATACTTGTCAATCTGAAATTCCTTACTTTTAAATTCTTCGCAATCATTAAAAAGTCTGCTAATTCCTAATATAATCTGACTTAACTCTCACCATTTCAAATCGATACTAATCAAAAATTGTACAAGTAATCATATACTTTCACTTCCTGTCCTCAATTGTCCAGTAAGCATTCAAAAGTATATAAACTTACAACTCGAATATTCCTCACGACTTAATCATTTGTATAAAATAAAGCTTTTCTACTTCTTTCAATTCATTTTTATTTCTTAGTTTTATTATTTTCAAATAATTGACATATATAGTTTAGCTTATTAATTTAAACTGCGTGATTCCGCTGTCTCTAGCACAGAATAAGGGAAAAACACGTAAACCACGCAACCAAATAAATTTTACACACTCTTTAGACGTTTTACTCGTTAGTTCTATCGGTATATTTTAATTTTGACAGAGTACCATAGTCTTTTACAACAAAATTTTACAGTGCAATCAATCGAATCTCGATGAAATTTCCTGAG